AGATAAAAGTATTCATTGCATTATCTTCTTGAGGACGCAGATAGAGAGGAGCATCTCCGTGGGAAGATCAGATGAAAGAAAATCTGGCTTCACTTGATTTTTAAAATTACGCTCATCTACAAGAAGAAGAAACGATCTATGTTATTGATTTATTAAATAATATACGGAATAAATAAAATATATATTTTTTGTTAATTCAAAACTTGAGGAATAATTTTTTTCTAAGAAATAATTACGACCGCAAACAATAATGATAAATGAGTTATTCAGACTCGTCAAATGTTAAAAAAAGTAGACGTTCTCATGAACAAATTACAGCTAATAGATTGCAAAGATAGACATTTAAAATATAAAAAAAATAGTTGATTATCTCTCTTTCAAAACTTGCATCATTAAACTAGAAATCAAAAAAAAGTTTATTGCATTAAAATTTATAAAATATTCAAATATTCCATTTTGTCTCTAGAATTGGTTGAGTTTCTCCCAAAAAACAAATTTATTTTAACTTAAATTTTAATACAGGAAAATGGGTAAAGTGCTGACCCCCTAAAATAGACAAATAGAGTACATCTCACAGTTTAAGCTTAGTAGAAACTGAGCGTTACAAAAAGAGAACAATAAAACAATAGGCGGCCGCAGTTCGAGAACTTCATACAAATTATAGCCGAAATAGTTTTTTAACAACGTCAAATCGTCGTCCGATTAATTCAAAATTTCCGGGGATAGAATTAGTTGAAAACGCCAAACACAAAGTCACTCATTTTACGGCATCGCAGCAGTGCGTGAGAGTATCGGTGGCAACACAAGAATTTCAACTCGCCGTCGAGGATAAGAATTGCAAATTTCATGAAGCCCTCTAAAGTGTATACTCACTAAAGACCAACTAATACAACAACTGAAGCCTAATGACCATGTACCGCGAAGAGAGTTTGTTGCATGGATTATTGAACATAATCATATGGTTGTTTTCGTAGAAAATCATCCTAAGCGATGAAGCACAACTTCACCTTGATGGATTTGTTAATCGCCAAATTTGCCGCTTGTGGCGTTCTGAGAACTTTGGGGAGTGTGTGTCGATTTTGGGCTGGAGACATAACTGGACCATACTTTGTTCAAAATGATGCTGTTGAAGCAGAGACTGTTACTGGTGCTCGATATCGCGACACGAGAACCCACTTCTTTTTTGCCAAAATTTATGATACAAATGTGGTTAATAAGACGTGTGTATGTCATACAGACCGTGGATAGGTCGCGGAGTCAGAAGTGGCCTTCTAGATCGTGTGATTTACCTCAATTAGATTTCTTTTTATGAGGTTATTTAAAATCACATGTCTATTATAACAAGAACACGATCGTGCGAGCTTTTAATGAGGAGAGTCAACGTGAAATCCGCTGAAACGATTTTCGGCTAAGCTCTTCCTCAAATTTGTGATTTTGCGTTTTGATGTTTTTCCAACAAATGGCGGGATCTACTGTTTATAAATATTAAGCCGCCTCCGAACGGCTGAAGGTTTTTTATATGCATTTATATCGTGTCAGAAAAACATTTGCTCGATGTATTTTTCCACAAATAACTCCATCCTAAGTACTTTATGTTTCAATATAAAAATTGCAATCGAAGACTAACGACTGTGTTTGCTATTCTAGTTAATTTTGGGACACCCTTTATATATTTAAATAATTAAAAAAAAACCACAAAATGAGGCACTGAAAAATTAATAATTTTAATCTCTGAATAGTAGTAATAATCATATATTTTTAACGCTTATTTACAGTTAATTATATTCCCGAAAATTGCGCTTAATCATTGTTTGAAGTTAGAAGAGAAGAAATTGATGAAAAATAGTATTTACATATGTATAAACAGCTGCGGTCATAATCTTAGTAGCGCGGACAAGCACTAAATTCAGTATGTATTAAATAACCATTAATTAGTATTTAATTGTATAACCATTTTTTTTAATTATGACGGCACGGCGACGTTGCATTGAGTTCACCAGATTCTGGCACCTTTCAACTGGAATTGAGCAGTATTTACGGATTCCCATAACTGCAAATAACAGTCAGACACCGATTTCTTTACATCGGCCCACAAATTTTCTATCGGGTTAATGTCAGGAGACTGTGGAGGCCATTCCATAACATTTACTCCAAACCACTTCTTTGCAAGCTTGCTAGTATGCTTCGGATCGTTGTCCTGTTGAAAGATCCAAATCAGTGACATTTCCTCGCCAGCATATGGGAGCATTACCTCCTGCATAATTTGGGCGTATTGGGCAGCATTCATGGTCTCCTTGATCCAGTAAATGGGTCCAACTCCATATCACGAAAACATGCCCATGTTTTATCGTTTTAGTGATATATTTTGGATTAAGTGCGCTGTCCACCCAGGGCGTCTTACAGACTGTCTTGAGCCTTTTCCAATATAGCGAACAATTTTTGACTCGTCAGATCATAAAATGTTACGCCATTTGGCCAAAGGCCAAGTCAAATGGTCTTTGGCGAAACGTAATCGTTTGATCACCTGTTGTTTAGTCAGACACAAAGACAATTTTTAGGGGCTCCGAGCTGACAGATCGTTTTCTCGTAAGCGTCGGCGGAGAGTTTAAACACTGGTTTTCTCATTTAGAGGTGGCAGCCACAAACGGATATTGCTTTTAATATTTTACAGCCGATTTCACCAATTGAGTGGGCATTACACGTTTCCCATCGCGTTCTTCGACAGCGATTTGTATTTTATAGTGTTTCGGAACATCGTCAGAATACTGATGAGAGAAATAGTTCTTACCGGTTCTTTAATTTTTTAGTCCCAAAAATAAAAGGAATTTATTTTTTTGAACTATTCTTGATTGCGCTACTAAGAATTTGACTGATCAAAAACATATTTTTCCTCAAAACTTAGCCGATTGCAATAACAAAAATAATTTTAGCTAACAAAGTAATGCATATTGTCATGTCGGCGCCTTGACCTAACGGTATTTACAGTGAAAGCGAAAAATGTCTGATATACAAATTTATGATGACTTATAATTAAGCAGCAAAATCACTACTAAGATTTTGACCACAACTGTATCTATTAACATACATACGACCAATTTAAGCTACTTGCCGGCTTTTAATTAATTTAATCGCTTCTGTAAGCTTCAATATGATTTTTTTTTGTTTTTTAACTTTTATTTGTTATGATGATATTCGTAGGAACACTCGCATATGCATGCACACATTTAAGAACAACTACGTTAAGCGAACAAAATAAATGCAACAACAGCGAAGAGTCTCTTAAAAAATCAACAAAATTTTATTATACCATTTCATTCGTTTGTTTTGCTTCATTCATTTGTTTGATTTTCGTGCCGTTGCCAATCAGTGGATGTTGGTTGTTAGTTTCTTTGGGATTTTCATTTTAAAAAAAGATTTTCATTAATGTTACGCTTTCGACGAGTGCTTAAAATCAAACTGATTAAATTATAATATATAAATCTTTAAATTATAGTATAGTATTTAAGGCTTAAATCTGAATTTCCATAACTAAGCAAATCACAGTACAAATAGACAGACGGAGGGTTACGCCAAGTGAAAGTGAAAATCAGAAAACTTTTTTCGAAAAACTGAATAAATTAAGTTCCATTGTAATTTACTTTTATTTAAATATTTTTTTTTTTGTCAAATAACAAACCTCGAATAAATTTAGCGCTTTCTTGAAGTACTCTATTTAGAAATTATCATTTACGCTTTACATTCGCTCATTGGCAGGGAATGTCAAGCTCTCCGAGTATATTTATGGCATGACATAAAAAGCTCCTCATACAAGTTCATCGGGAGAGGGTTTTTCAATAAGAAGTGTTATCTTGAATAGCCTGCTATTTCGGTAGATGCCACTGATAAAGCTGTAATTTTCTGACATTTGACATGTAAAATTTACGCCAGTGTTAAGAATGGAACAAAATATGCTTCAAGAACGCGGGGAGGCCAAGGTATCTGCTCATTCCCCATCGTTCTTTCGAATTGGATATTCCACAAACTGCATAACATAATATTTTTCATAAAGATTTGAGTCTTAAGGCTCATATAGTTCAGCCGATTATCAATCACTAGGAGTCTTCGCATATTGTTTCCTTGGAATTCATGAAAGTTACGGCGGCTTTCATCGAAAGCTCATTTTAAGTGATGAGGCTAATTTCAACCACCATGGCGACGTCAGTAAGTAAGCAAGAATGTCTCATCTGTGGCTTGGAAAATACAAGATATGTTGTTGAAAAGCCTTCTAATCCTTAATGTGAAATGTGTTATTGTCCGGCGGGTTATTGGACATTATTTTACGGAACGAAACCTTTGATCTTTTAAGGCAAAAGTTTTCGGACTGTGTTAACTGTCGAAGGGGTGATCGAAATTTGATACTGAGATTTTGTGATTTAACAGCTTTTGACTTCTAACTTTGGGGCCATGTAAAAGGTAAGGTCTACGCCAACAGCCCAACGTTGATCCAAGACCTCGACGACTATTAGGTTGATATTGTTTTCCATTATTGATGGCATATTTTCTTTTTCCTCTTTTTTCTTTGAATATCAAAATAATACCTCTTATTGGAAAGCTCTGTATTATATAATATATAAAAATATTATTTAATAATTATTTATTTTGGGATAGCAGAACACAAAAGTCAGAACGCCAAAGGCTGACCAAGTAGTTTGATATTTGATGTTATCGAAATGTATACCTTTTTCAAAAACCGAAAAACCGCAAATCTAAATATAACATTCAGAAATATTTTCCTGTAAGCTTATCTCTAGTTTAAAAAAAAATATCAAATTTCATCGCCTCACATTTAAATCCTGCTTTTATATTGAAGTACAGACTTAGAACTCAGAATTGTAACTTTTAACGAATTAAAGTGAGCGTAAAGTAATCTTAAAATTCATTTAAAAATACGACTGTTACAGCAAAAAATATGGCAACACTAAACACAATTATCAGCTCAGATATTCACACTTGAACTGAGCTCCGACACTTTAGTTGAAATCGAGCTTTACTACAATCAACATGTTTACATGGAGCAAACTCTTACACTTTCTGCTCTTTGCAGTTTTATGTTTGGCGATTTGCGATATCGCAGCAGGTGCAGAGCGGAAATGCGCCGAATACAATGAATATGTAAGTGGAAAACGATTTTGAATTTAAATATAACCAAAAATGTATGAAATTGGAATTTAGCTAAAACTAAAAAGAAAAACAAATTGTCTATTTCAGTGTCAAGAACATTGGGAATGCTGTTCTAATACCTGTTTAACCTACTCGTACCGTTGCATTGGAAAGAGGCGTCCCGGCCCCATTGTTGCACAACCGGCCATGACATTTGATGAGCTCTTAGAGAGCATTGCTGAGTTCAACATGATTCCAGCTACAACATACAATAGCCAGCCACAAAGTGACCAGCCAGAGAAATCTGGATTAACATTGAAAAATTTGCTAGGTGCCCGTGGTGAGTCGGAGAGTGTAGCAGCGGCTGGGCCAGTTATACAAGAACGATTTGGCGGCATTGAAGTCGGCGACAGCAACGCAGCAACTACAAATGGTCGTGAGTTCATCTTCTTTGTTTTGCAACCACAAGATACACCACGGCAACCAAAGCAATTGAAAGAAGAACAAGCACAAAAGCCGGATGAGATGCCAACTGATGTACCAGCAACGGTGAAGGTAGAAGATGGTGCAGAAGTTACAACTGAAATTGAGACTGAGCAAGCATCAGCGCGTCAATGCAAATCAATTGGAGAGAAGGTATATTAATTGAGTTGACAAGTATATACGAACATATAAAGAGTGATTTTTTAAGAGCTATAGGAAAGTTTTCTACAAAAAAAAAAAAAAAAAAAAATAATATAAAATAAAATAAAATGAAACAAAATCTTTATTTGAATCGATAGTACGGTCAATATAATTTAATGTTTGTATTTCAAGCAAAAGTTGACCATAACTGCGCCTCAAATGGTGAATCCGCTTGGTTCAATATCGGCATATTCTTTCCAACATTTCGGCCGGTATCTCACGGATAAATGCTTCAATGTTATCCTCCAATGCTTCAATTGAAACGGGTTTGTCTGTATAGACATTAGATTTAACATAGTCCCACAAAAAATAGTCTAAAGTCGTTAAATCGCAAGATCTAGATGGTCAATTGACCCCTCCCGAACGTGAAATAAAATGTTCACCGAACTCGCCTCTCAATGTCCATTATTATGCGTGCTGTGTGGCATGTGGCACCGTCTTGTTGAAACCACATGTAATGCAAGTCAAGCTCTTGAATTTTGGGCAAAAAAATTTGCTGAACACAAGTTTTATTGTTTGAACTTTCTTAACAGAGCACGCATTTTGATAATAAAATTCAAGAATTTGCAAGCGTTGTTTGTTTGTCATGGTCAAATTATAGACCAAACTGAAGATGTATGACAGTGATTCAAAGAGATAATAGCTAAAAAATCCCCCTTTATATGTGAATTTGAAATTAAGTTTTTATTTTCTATTTTGATGTTTTTCTTTCTTATTTTCATATATATACAGTGTTATCGTCACGAAGAATGTTGCACCCAACGCTGCCATGGCTTTTTACATCAATGTGTTACATAAAAAAATCGGGGCGTTCCTGCAATCTTCGCGAACTTATCGATTTTGTGCTTTAATAAAAATATTATTTATGTGTATTTAAATGAACAGAAATTTATCTCGTACGAATTCGCAAAGAATTTTTGTACTAATTGATAAGTAAACAAAGAAAAATAAAATAAGAAAATATTTCCATTTGATGACTAGCCTTTAATTATATACATAACTTGTTAGTTATACTATATGATTTACATATAAGGCAAAACACCTAAACTAATTTATTTGCTTAATAATATGGTGGCCTCATATTTACGAACAGCCTTAATCCGATGCGGTGGGGGAATTTATGTCCAATTGAGTCCAAAAAAAAGCAATGGAAAAAATAAAATGAAGTAATTCAAAACAAAATAAAATAGAATCATTTATTAAGATAAAATAAAATAAATAAATTTAAATTAATTTTAATAATTTTAAATAAAAAAATAATTAAACGAACATACATATTAAGGACAAAAATAAAATAAACATATTTGAAATAAAATAAAGAAGCAAATATAACAAAACAAATAAAAAAAAGTGAAAGATAACAAAATCAAATGAAAAAAGTGAAATTAAATAGTATAACTTAAATAAAAAAAAAATTAAAGTAAAACAAGTTAAAACTAAATAACTAAAATAAAATTAAACAGAAAAACCATATTAAATAAAACCAAATTACGTAAAATACTTCAAAAATGAAATGGAAAATAATAAACTAAAATGAGTTTTTATTAATAAACAAAACTACAAACAACTAAAATTAAATTTATTAAAATAAAATAAAAAGTAAAATAATGCAAAGTATAATGGAATCAAAAGAAACAAAATAAAATGAATTCAAATAAAATTGAAATTAAATGAACTTTTATTAAATAAATTTAATTAAAAATAGTAATTTTATTTGAATTAAAATAAAAAAAGGAAATTAAATAAAATTTAAAAAAGTAAAATAAAATAAAATAAAATAAAGTAAAATAAAATAAAATAATATAAAATAAAATAAAATAAAATAAATTGAAATTCAATGAACTTTTATTCAAAATAGTAATTTTATTTGAATTAAAATAAAAAAAGGAAATTAAATAAAATTTAAAAAAATTAACCTAAGTAAAATAAAATAAAATAAAATAAAATAAAATAAAATAAAATAAAAAAATAATTAAAGCACATGAAATACAATAAATTCAAATTAATATAGATTAACAGAATCTAATTTAAATAAGTTAAATAGAAATTAAAATTTTTATTGGAATAAAATAAAACGAAATGAAATAAAATAAAATGAAATCAATTGAAATACAATAAATAAATTTAAATTAAATAAAATTTTATAAAATAAAGTAAAATCAATTAAAATAAACTAAAATATATATAAAAAAGGTAATAAGAATATTGGGTGTATGCATTAATTCGTGCGGTTTTCTAAGAGAAGGATCTACTAGTACTATTTCGCCTCGGGTTCATCTGTGGCTACATTCATTTCAAAGGTACTGTCATTTCGTGTCGTTTTCAGTAGATGTCATTTGTTTTAGCGTGATAAACAATTTGTTTCATTCATTTGGAAATGTCGAAATTTGAACCAGAACACCAGAACACCAGAAAACACTTTAGTTTTTGCAGGGAGTTCTTCTTCATTAATTTAACATGAAGAAAAGTGCTACCGAAAGCCGAAATGCTTTAGCCGAACGAACGTGCCAAAAGTGGATTGCACGGTTTAAAAGTGGAAATTTCGACTTAGACGACGGACAACCAAAAAAATTTCAAGACGAAGAATCGGAGGCATTGCTCGACGCAGATGCATGCCAGACGCAAGAAGAACTTGCAAGAGTATTAGGAGTTGATCAAGCAACCGTTTCCAGACGATTAAAATCATTAGGATTAGGATCCAGAACCTTAGAAATTGGGCGCCTTATGAATTAAAGTCAGGAGAGGTCGAACGTCGAAATGTTGCTGTAACACCTCCAAAAAAACTCATTTTTGCATCGGATTGCCACTGGCAATGAAAAATGGATTCATTATGATAATCCAAAGCACAAGAGATTGTATATGAATATACGAATATCCATGGTGCCAAGGTTATGCTATGTATTTGGTGGGACCACAAGGGTGTGCTCTATTATGAGCTATTGAAATCGGGTCAGACGATCAATGGCGACCTTTACCGAAAAAATTGATTCGCGGAAAAACGATCAGAATATGCGACCAGACACGAGTCAATAATTTTTCATCATGACAACGCTCGGCCACATGTTGCAAGGCCTGCTAAAAAGTATTTGGAAAACTGTGGGTAGGAAGTTCTACCTCATCTGTCTTATAGCCCAGACATAGCACCTTCCGATTACTACTTGTTCAGATCAGTGCAGAATACCCTCGCTGGAGTACTTCAGAATAGGGTACCAAAAATTGGCTTGATTCTTTCTTGACCTCCAAGTCGGAGAAATTCTTTTGGGATGGGATCCACAAACTGCCAGAAAGAAGGGCAAATAGGGCGGATGTGCTATACTTTGAACATTAAATGTGTAACAATTTTTTCACAATAAAGTCTTAATTTTCGAAAAAAAACCACACGAACTAATACATGCACGCAATATTATACTTTTTATCCAAAATCAATCGTTGAAGTACTCATGTGAATTGTAGAAAGTCTCTTTAGTTGTTATCTCTTACTGTCTAGTATGGCGATGTACCTCACTGTATGTGTTTACATATCGACACGCTTATAAATCTCTGCACAGCGCGTTATCTGCAGTAATTAGGTTTACTGCTTTTTGTTTGTTTAAATGCCAAAACCACTATAAATTTCACCTCCTGTGTGATTCACGAGCAAAAAAAAAAAAAAATACTCAAAAAGAAAATGATAAGGCAATGTTTCAAAATTTCAACTTAAGTAAATATACATGACAGGCCTCTGGTAAGCAAAATTAAGAGTGACAAATTTCCCAATTTTTTAGCAGAAAAAAAAGAGAGTTGTAAAAATTGTGTCATAACGATAAACTTGTATATCTTCTTATTTATATTGATAATAAATAAATAAACATGCAATAATAATAATAATAAAATGATAAGTGTAGCGGTAGCAGTCGCTACAGAGTGAATTTAATAAATTAATTGCTTTATAAGGTGTGAATTCTTAAGCTGAAATCCATAAACAACTAAGTTGGCTGAAACAGAAAGTGTTGGAAGTGAAAAGCCGGCAATTTTTAATTGACTAACTTCTACTAACAACGCAAATTTTGAATTAAAGAAAATCTTCAATATTTCAAATAAAGCACCGAAATGAAAATTATTTTGACGCAGTTGTTGTTTCTCTCATTGTTTGCAATGGTAAGTGATCAAAAATAGTTAAAATATTATTTAGTTTTCTGTATTTTAATTTTCCTTAGCATTATTTATGATGTTGCTGAGTTGAGTGAAATACTGTGAAGCTTGTAGAATTATCTTTTCTTATAAGCTGTATGTATAAAAAATATTTAAGTCTATCTCATGTCTCATATATATGTATAAAGTGACTTGACAAGGCCTCACAATTTGCTGTCACATCTTCTTTGCTTCATGTCATGCCAAAAGTGAAATTTCAGTTATTAAATCCTAATCTAATCTTCACACGAAGCATGACGCCAAGAGTTGTGCAGAAAAAAAGAAAACATATTGTAGCTGATCAAGTTAATTTTCTCTTCATTTACTGAGCCAACTGAAAATATTTAATCAGAAGTGGTTTTTAAGGTCCACCTTATGTTATAACTCTATGTGGAATTGAATATCTCTTAGGGCCAGAAACTAGATACTGTAAATAAAAGCTTTAGTCAATTAGAGCTGTTCTTGCCTCAGCGAGATGGTCTTTGTTGGTGCATTTTAGTCGCAATTTTCATAAAAAAAATTTTTCCTTTTAATTAATCAAAGATGTAAACCAGCATTAAACAAAAGTACAACAACTATTCACATAAAGCGTTTGATAATTTTTATTAAAAAAATATATTCATATACACGTATGTATTTAGGAAGTGGCCAAATTCCCATCAGTAGAAAGTGCGGAGATAAACGCAACTAACTTTTTCTCTCTTGTTTTCTCCATCTGTCCCGCTCTCTGTTTGTGTGTTACAACACGCGCTTAATGAATGATGTTTTCAAATTGCAACAAGGGACGTGTTTATGCGACATAACATGAAAACAATAACAACATGACGACTATGCGGATGCTGTAGCATGCAACAAGTTTACCCAGGGAATCGGTGACAATGCAACACGCTTTAGAACCACGCCAACAGGCAGCCGCGGTCGCTGTGGTGAACGAGAGCAGCAAGCCGGCTGCAGCAGAGCCAGCAGTTGTGGTTGATGCGGTGCAGTTATCACCATCGTCAGCGGATCAGGTAAAATTGATTGTCAATTTGTGTGGGTTTAATTTATTTTCTTATTGTTGTTATTTTTGCTGTATTTGTATTTTAATGGTTTAATATTTGCTTTTTGTTTCCGCTAAGAAAAAATCTAAAGTTTTTATTTTGAATTCATCATTTGATTTATAAATAGTTTATTGAATAACTGTCTTGTCTTTCTTAGCTTCCGTCCATCGTTAAAGGTGAGTGCGTCAACGTAGGAGAAAATTGCAGTTTGCCTGACGAATGCTGCACGAAGCGGTGTCTCACCTATGCTAAGAAGTGTGTTACGTAATTTTAGGAATAATAAAAGAAATAAAATCTAATGTTTATAAAAGTAAAAAATAAAACCGGTAATTAGAAAAAAAAATATATTTTTTATTTTTTTTATTGAAACTAACTACATATAGAATATCTAGTGTAATATAGGAGCAATGGTAACGCAGGCCTTACGGTCATTTGAAATTAATACATACAAACTGCACAATGTTTATATAAAGAGTAATGCATTTCGAGGTTGCCTACTTTTAAAAAAAAAAAAAACACAAAAATATGATGGGAAATGTTTATTATCATCCGTTAGAACATTTTTTGGCTTTTATTTTTCAGAAGTTCAACTTTTTTTGGCCTTTGCCATTGATGGCCCTTTCGTTGCGTCCAACTTTCGATGACTTGTTCGAGCATTTCGACTAGCAGATGGCGAGGTATGCGCGTGACGTTTCGCTTAAAATCCTGAATCGAAACGGGATTCTCTACATATACTTTAGGCTTTACTTATTCCCACAGGAAAAAGTCTAACGGTGTGATATCTTGGCGGCCAAACGGCTGTCCCAAAACGTGAAATTATCTGCTCACCAAAGTTTTTTCTCTATAAATCTATTTATTGTTGTGATGTGTGGAAAGCGGCGCTTGTCGAAATTAATGACGCCGAGATGACGTGCTTCAATTTCTAGCATCAAAAAGTCGGCCGCTATTGACGGTTACGTTGTCGTTGGCATCATTTTTGAAGGAATATGGACCGATGACTCCATCGTCTCACAAACCACACCAAATGGTTTTTCTTTCTGTATAAAATGACTGCTCTTAAATCTTTTCAGGTTGCTATTTATCCCAAGGGCGGCAATTTTGCTTATTTACATACCCATTGAGTCAGAAATGGGCCTTATCGCTGAACAACATTGGGCTGGAAAACGTTGGATTGTCTTGGAACTTTTTAAGAGCCCATAGAGCGAAATGATGTCGACTGGGAAGGTCGAGCGACTTCAATTCGAATCGACCCTCCATGGTCTTCGTGTATACTCCCAGCTGCGGCCGCTATATTCTCTCAACTGCGTGATGGACGTCTCAAGAATAATGAATGTGTAGCGAATAGTACGCTCAGTAGACTGATAATTCGGAGTGTAAATCTTCCTCTTCTCCTGCTTGAACTAGTGGATGTTGCATTGAATACTTTCAAAGCTGGAGTGGTTTCATCCATTCGGACGACATGACCTAGCTATCTTAGCCGATGTCTCTTCGTTCGCTGAACTATGTCAATATTGTCGTATAGCTCGAACAGCTAATCATTCCATCGCCTGCGGTATTCGGCGTTGTCAATGCACAGGGGAAAATAAATCGTTCGCAAAACTTTTCTCTCGAATACTCCCAAAGCCCACTCATCAGATGTCGTCATCGTCCACGCTTCTGTAGTATACAAAAGGGCGGTTACGATAACCGACTTATTGAGTTTGATTTTGTTCGTCGAGAGAGGACTTAGTTTTTAATGTTTTACTCAGTCCAACTGGTAGTAAGAAATAATTATTTTCCGATGGATTTCAATGCTGAAATGGTTGTTGGAGTTACTACTGGTCCCGAAAGAGAATAATATATCCGCAACCTCGAAAATATGATACATATTGCCCTGTCCTCGTTCACTACCTGACCCATTCGCTTCGCTTCTTTATCCGTCTGTAGAGACTTTTTCCCGGGTCTATTCCAACATTTGGTGCTTGGGGAACATTTGGTTAATAGTTAATTTACCAGGTCTAAAGCCACGGTCCAATCAGTTTGTTGACGTTGGGCTTTAGTCTTTCACAAAATGCGAACGATAAGACTTTAAATGCGATATAAAGCAGGCTTATCCCATGGTTTTTACGCAAACTGTGGGATCGCCCTTTTAGTGGTTTGGGCAGAGCGCACCACCACATTTGAGTAGTTCTGCCAATGGGACCCGCTTTGTTGTACTTTAAGCGGGCACGTATTTCCATCGTCAACGATTGGGATTTCGAGTTTACCATCCTCGGGTGTTTCATTTTCACTGCCATTCAGCAGACTTGAGAAGAGTTCCCTCCACAAATTCAATATGCTATTTGCAACGGTTGCTAGATCAACACTTTGTCTCAAAAAGGAGTTTGCTCCTGTCTTGAAACCTTCTGTCAGACACGGTATTTTTTCATAGAATTTTCAAGCACTTCGGCCTTTTTCTATTTTTCCTGCAAATGCATCTTGCTTTCCTCCTCAGGTCTCGGTATCTATTCCACCCCTTACTGTGTTCGATCGCAACGTTGCGATGTATACAGTCTGCTTTCTCTCACTGCAGTACAATATTCCTCATCGCACCAGCTCTTTCCCTGGTACTGCCAAAAATCAATTGTTTCCGTCCCGGTGTCATGTATGGAGTTTCATATCCCGTTCCATAATTCTCTTATATCAAGTTGCTGATGAGTGTTCTCAGAAAAATGTGTTGAAAAATTTCTATTTCGGATTGTGGTGAGACTTTCATCTAAGGGCGGAGTCTCCATCCCATGAAAAATATGACACCAAATTTTCTCTCTTTTACATGGCCGCTGTAGTATATTTCTTCCGTCCTTGTCACGTCCATCGCATAGCTGTTTAGCTGGAGAGGCAAGTATAACCGCAATTCTGCACAATCGGTCTCGGGTTCAGGATAGTCTCGCACTGATATATGGTACAATGGCTTAGACAACAACAGTAATCGATTAGTTGTCTGTAGTTGTTTTCGAGATGAAACGAAGAGCTGAGATCTACGTACCATTGATATAGTTTAAGTTTAGATTCCGTAGCCGTAGGCGAGCGCAGAAGAAGTCGACGGCCTCCAAACAGTTGGTAGAACTAAGGAAAAGTGATCAGACTACATTTGGTTGCTCGAAATGACGTCGAACAGCTATTTTTGAAGCGAATTTATATTACAAAGGTAGATATTTAAATAATCGGACGCTTGTTGCATATGCATATTGGAAAGTCAAATACGCCTAAAAGCTGGCAATGAAATGTTACTTTGTGTTCATGGGAAATTTATCTTTGCGAATACTGATTAATTAATTTTTCAAGTACAAAGGTACACAATGCATAAAAAGCAAAATTACATCGTGAAAAGGCGTTTTGAATAATTGTTATTTTTAATGCATTCAAATTCTTCCGTATTTTCATGGATCAAACATAAAAAATGTTATAATGATTATTTACCAAATATCCAATGGATTGCTGTGCCTGAGAGGATTGGACGTTTGTACTTGTATCTGTTGTTTCTGTTTAATCTGATGTGATTGACTTTAAAAACTGTACCCACACACCACCTAATTTTCATTTCATAAGCACTGAGAGCCGCTAGCGTGTTTGTTTATTTGACTGATTTTGCTATCATGCCAAGCGAATTATATCAAACTATTTTAATTTATATAACAGTGTGAATGAAATTTTAGAAATTTGTAACTTTTTCATTTGCTTATGCGTTTTTGTATGAAAATAAAAAAAAAAGTTTTTTATTGCGTTATGAATTTCAAAAAGTTTGTGGTTAAAATTCATGGGTTTTGTTATCAGCGGAATGCGGTTGGAGTTATTGTGGGCTTTCTTCTGGTATAAAATTTAATGTACAAAATATGTATTTAACCTAGTTTAACCCAATTATTTAATGTAATGTGCTGTATATTACATTAAAAAATTGTGATATTTATAATTCTAAAGAATTTTTTTTTGCATAGAAATTAAGTTCAAAAATCATCATATAATTACTCGTAAGAAATTTATTTTGAAATGTTTTAAATTCCGAATTACCAAAATTGCAATAGTAATTAGTGAACATTTTTTTTAGTATTCAATTGATCATCACAATTTTAAAATGTTATCGTTTAAAGCATATTGATGTCATATTCATATGTACATATTATATATGTTTTTGGAATCATATTCACTAATTACATTGCATTTTCCAAACTTTTCCATAAAAATAAATTAATGGATTTAAATCCCCTCATATAATTACAAAAATATGTAAATATGTGTAATTATAATTTCAATCGCATTCCAGCTGTGCACAAATGCACCGTTAATGTGACCTCAAACTCGAAAAAATTCAAAGCAAATATGTTTATATGTTCAAAAAAAATATAATATATATGTGCGTACATATATGTACATATATTACATATAATACAAACATATAAAATGTTGATATGTAATAAATAAATATTTGTATGATTTTAGTAGAGAATCATTATATTTTAGACAACATTAATTGCTGAGTCTTTACTTTGCTACGTATTTTGGCGGCCGCAGGAACCGAGTGATTAGCAGAGCGCACTGCTATATAACATTAATTAAAATAATTAAATATTTAAGTTTTCTAATACCCGTCATCCCTCGCCAGGGTATGTAAAGCTTCCGATTGTGGTTTTTGATATGAAATAATAAGCTCCTCATATAGAACCATTGGCCATTCGGAGGCGACTTAATATATATTTGTTTGACATACATCAAGACGCATACAAGCAACTGGAGAAGGAGCTCGGGCGAAAATCACTTCAGCTGCTACAAAGTATCAGTTATATGTGGTTATCCAAAGTACGGGGCTCTATTTTGACATCTCCCAATTTTAACTGTCAAAACAAATGTGCTTTGATATAGTCATAAGCCAGGTACTTATGAAAATGAAATTATGAAAATGTATCGCTTAAGGGGACCCTCCACTGATATTGGGCAAAAATTAAGGAAAGTTTGCATTTCTTTGCGGAAGAAAGAAAAGGCGTACAAACTTCCGCTTATGATCATTGAATTTGCTTATTATTTGAGGTTTTAGAACGGCGAAAAAATAGTCGGAATCCAAAATGACGGCTACAAAATGTTGCTTGCCGTTGGCTTCTGTGCGTGAAACATGGTTCAACAATCTTCAAGCCTACAGCCTGTTGTAGTGGACTGAAATCAAAAATCGTTGTCATCACTTAAAGATCATGAAATTTTCTACGTCCTGAATCTCAATTGATAAAATGTTTATAAATAAATTTATTGCAATTATAAAGCTAAAGTTTTATAATGCTAATCTTAGCATCAAGACGTACGAAAAACTATATACTT